AACACACATGCATCAACACTACAATGAGCGGGTGGAGGGAGGTTTGGAGTCTTCTCTCACCCCCGTTCTCTGCGACCTGCTGGAGCGGGGGGGCTAGGAGGAGGAGTTGGCCGTCCGACTGCGGTCTGGAGTGTGGGGCCTCCCTGCTGCTGCGGAGTCGGGGCGGTCTGCCTCCCCCCACCGCAGGGAAAAGGGTAACACCACCTGGGTCTGGGTGCAGTTCCCCCCTCCAGGGGCAAGGGTACCTAGACCCGGTTCGTAGAGTACGCTTGGGGAGTGTGATCGTGTGTACAGCGTCTCTTTATGTCTGTCTCCACGTTGGTTGAGTGTGGAGTAAGTGCATATGAGAGCATGAGGGTGGGAATGGATGTTTGTGTCTGTGTGTGCCTGTATGTCTGTGTCTATATGTCAGGTTGGGTGTCAGGCGCCACCTCTCTGGGGACATCTCAGGCCCTCCAAGGTTTGGAGGCCTATCTCCCCCTACCACCACTTCCCCTGCCAGTGGCGGACTCCCTCAGACATCGGTGCGTTGGTGGTTCTTTGTGTCCGGGGATGGGCGTCCAGGTACACACCGGCTCACTCCTTGGCGGCCGCTTATCGGGGCCTGGAGCCTGGGGCTCGCTCGGGCCACTTCGGAGGTGGGGTGCCCCCGGCCTCTCGGCCTGGGGCTCGGTCACTCAGGCACGGCTGGCTGCCGGCGGAGCTCACGGGCGCGTCACTGCAACTCCCCCTGGCTTCTGCTCCGCGGCTGCTGAGTGAGCCCTCATCTGGGACTCTCCTCAGCTCTTTCTGGGACAGTGGCGCGGCTGCCCCTCTGTTGGTCTTCCTTGGTCTCTTGTGTTCTGGGGGCCTCTGGATGTCTGGAGTTTTGATCTCCTCCATACCTGCTTCATGCCCTGGAGGACGGGGCTGTGGCTCCCCCACACCCTCTAGCAGATCATTACATGAAGGAACCTTTAAAAAATAAAAAAACAAGCGCGTCCATGCTCACAGGTGTACACACGGGTGATCACACCCACAAACTACACCCTTTTTGGCTCCTACCTCAAAGCACACTGTGTTCTGTTGATCTTATGTGCTGCACAATAATGTTTAATATTTAGTATTTACTGTCATATTCCCATATATCATTGTGATGTTGTTTATTCTATTACTCTTGTTCTCTTCTGCTTGTTTTCTTTTTTCTTTCTCAACAGGTGATCCAGGTGATCGATATATGCATTTTTTTTCTTTTTCTGCCCGTTCTGTTGGTTTTTGGTTTTTGCCCTTCTCCCCCGTCCCTCTTCTCAGCTGTTTCTCTTTCCCTCTTTCTTTCTCCCCTTCTTTCCCCCAGTCAAGTCTGTCCCGTATTCAGTAAGTGAAAATAAAATAAACAATAAAAGGTGAATCAAATGGACCATTACGGCAAGGCTGGGATGGTCAATTTGGTAAAGTAAATCCGTTGGGCATCTTTCTTTGCCTTTAGACAACAATTCTGATGGCAAAAGAGCCAAACGGGACAGGCAAAAAAAAAAAAAAAAAAAAAAAAAGTTTGCAGATGACACCACGGTGATTGGCCTCATCAGTGACAACGATGAGGCCGCCTACAGGGAGGAGGTGGATCGTCTGGCTGAGTGGTGCGACACAAACAACCTGCTGCTTAACACCGAGAAGACCAAGGAGCTCATCGTGGACTACAGGAGGAATGCTGACCCACATCCACCCATCCACATTAAGGGGACGGCTGTGGAGCGTGTGAGCAGCTTCAAGTTCCTGGGAGTCCACATCTCCGAGGATCTCACCTGGACGACCAACTGCTCCAAGCTGGTCAAGAAGGCTCACCAGCGCCTCTTCTTCTTGAGGACTCTGAGGAAGAACCACCTGTCCTCAGACATCCTGGTGAACTTCTATCGCTGCACCATCGAGAGCATCCTGACCAACTGTATAACAGTCTGGTACGGGAACTGCTCTGCCTCGGACCGGAAGGCGTTGCAGAGGGTCGTGAAAACTGCCCAGCGCATCGCCGGAGCACCACTTCCTGCCATAAAAGACATCTACAGGAAGCGGTGTCTGAAAAGGGCTGGGAAAATCATCAAAGACCCCAGTCACCCATCACATGGACTCTTCACCCTCCTGCCCTCTGGGAGGCGCTACAGGAGCCTCCGGACTAAGACCACCAGGTACCGGAACAGCTTCTTCCCCACAGCTGTCAGACTCCTGAACTCTGCCTCCTGACATCTGACCCACGTTAAACTCATGGACTGAACATACACACACCCACAATGGACAACCGTACCCTCAAACACACAATAATAACATGGACTGAACCACCACTCACAACCACTAGCACTTTATATAGCCTCTGTAGAATTATCCACATATCTCACTTATCTTAACTGCACTACTGTATAGCTCTGTGTAAATAATCATTCTGTACATACGATAATTTTTAACCCTACAACTGTTTACAACTTGCATAGTTCCCATTTCTGTATAACTGTATATCTCAGATTTCTGTAAAGTTATTTATTTCATATTCTGTATAGTTTTTCATATTTATATCCTGTCCATATCCTGTACATAGCTTGTACTCACTACAGCCTGTACATACTTATAGTTTCAGAATATTCACAACATACTTGATACCGTGTACATTATAACTGTCATGGTCCGGAGTCTGCGACTCCGTGTTTATGTTTAGTTTATTAGTATTCTGTGGTTTTGGTTACCTTGGGTGTTTGTACTCTTCTGTTTCATGGTTCATGTTCCTATGTTCTGTGTCCCCCAGTCTGTGTTAAGTTGGTGTGTTATGTTACAGCGTGTATGTGTTTCCTGTTTTATTGTGAAGGTCTGTGTCTTATGTGAGTGTTTTCAGTTTGCCTCCCTAGTCTCGTCACGTTAATCACTCCCAGCTGTGTTCCCTACCTGTGTGTAATCTCCCTGTGTTCTCTGAGTGTATTTAAGTTGTGTCTTCTGTCATGGTAGTTGCTGGTTCGTCTGTGTTGTTTCCCCTCGTCTCCCCGTATGTATTTCCTCGGACCTCCCTGCATCTTCGTTTCTGGTTTGTGTTGTTAGTTTCCCCAGTTTAGGTTTCCGGGTTCATGTTCACCCACCATTGCTGTTTGTACCCACTCCTGTAAATAAATACTCACCTGCACCAGAGCTGCCGCCTTTTGGGTCTTTTCTCCAACTCCACACGGCTTGCTCAGGCTCCTTCCCTACCAGGAAGGTGACGTTCCATATCCAAATCACTAGGTTTGGTAGTCGGGGATCGGTCGACTAGGGCCTCCCCTCCTGTCCGCCGCCTGACAACATTGCACCCAACCCCTACGGCCACCTCCAGCAGGCGGTGGACCTTCAGGAGGTTAGGTCCATGTCACTTTTTCGAGCTGTGCCTGGCTGGGTCCCATGGACTAAGGCCCGCTAAATTTTGAATCACTCTTTTTTCTGGTCTCTCACCCAGGACCAGTTTGCCATGGCTGACCCTACCAGGGAGTAGGGTTTTAATGCTAAACACACCATGACATGTAAAACCAGCATAGTTCTTCACAGAGAACTATGCTGGGGAACTATCTTTACTTATGTTTGACTGGATCACGCCCTGCAAAAAACTGAAGGCCAAAGTTAGGCTTCCATTGAAACCACAGTAATCAAATACAATACACAGATGTAAGTACATCTGAGCAAAGCCATACTGTGTTGAAAATAACTTTATTTATTAGGTAACTTAAAATCTATTTAAGTCCTGGAAAGATTTAGCAAAACACTATCACCCAATATGTAGCATGTATAATATTGAGCACACTATAATACTGTAAGAAAAGTTCATTACCATAACATTTGTTCTCATGAGCGTAAAATCATATTTTCCTTTTTTGTGTCTCTGTATAACAGCAGCACGTGGTGGTGCAGAGGTAACCCTCTCTCATAATATGTCACAGGTATTATGAGACTGGGTTACCTTCATGGTGTTCATTACATCTGAATCTTAAACCCATTTAATTGTTAAACTAACACTCCAGCTGGAGCACAGGTAGCTCCTGGAGCATTAGTATTTCTGTGATTGTCCAAATGCCTGCACTGTATCCACATCTAGCTGCTCCTAGCCAACACAAAGGCTGGTGTTAGCTTAGTTTAAGCCAGATTTTTTTAATGTTTCACAGCTAAAGTGAAAGCTCCCAGGCATTTTGTCTCTATGCTGCCCTCCTCTCATCAGTAGTAAAAGCCCTCCATTTACAGGACACAGAGCTGAAAGGGGATGCAGGGTGCCACAGGGTAGCAGTTACACAGACAGATTACCTGCAAATCCCACCCAGGGGACTCAGAGCAGCCACATCTGCAGTCCACACACACACACGCACACACACACACATGCACACACACACGCACACACACACACATGCACGCACACACACACATGCACACACACAGTCACCTCTTGAAATAAGATTATAACACCAGGACACACAGAGCCAAGCCCCTTCATTCCTGATGCAGGCAGAGGGAAGTGCTGATGCAGTCTGAATGGGAAATGTGAATGGAGTGCCGGGGGAGCAGAGATATACATAAAGTCAGAGAAGTAATGAAATGATGGAGTCAAATGGCAAAGGTCCAGATGTTAAGGCTGAACCCAATCAGCTACAACGTTAAAACCCACCTAATATTGAATATGCCCAGAACTTTATTTTGTCACTGGACATCCACGATGCTCTAGTTGTGTTTGTTATGGATGGATCAAATGGTCAATCCATACTTCCACGAATGGCCTGCAAGGTTCCCAATAACATTTTGGTTTGTGTCAAAAACAGCCAATAAATGCAGAGACCCCAGGTTTCCTACAAAGCCCTGCACTGTAGGGAGATAATCAATTTTATCCTCCCCATTAGTCCATGGTTTGAATTTGTAGCTGAATGATTTAAATTCAGCTGTAATAAGTTCATTTCTGAGCTTCAGCTGGAGTTGAGAGTCTGCCATTGGTGTAACAAGCTGAGGGGTCCATGTCAGGTGGTGAGAAGAATGAGAACTGTGCATTCATTTTATTATGGTGCAACAGGGTCAGAGTTATTAGCAGTGGACATGCTGTCAGTATCCACAGCAAAAAGTTGGGAGAATGATTTTTCTGCTTCAAGAGCTGAAGGCATATATTTAAAAAAAATCATTCAGTCTGCTGTGTTACATTAATATTTTTCTAAGAGGTAACAATACTGATGACCAAACAACTGCGTTCTATGTAAAAGGTCAAACAATGAAAAAAAACCTACTGATCAAAAACTCTTATCTTAAATAACTATAACACATTGATAATAAAATCACTCATTACAGACTATTGTCCCATGGTACCTAAATAAGCTTAGAGAGCAAGAAATAAGCATAATACTGTAAATCGCCTTTAAACTCTAAGCAGTCACAGAAGCAAATATGTTACTCTAAAGTAGCTATGCATGATTCCCAGTTTAAAACAATTCTTATTTATTATAAATTGGGCCACAATGCATTATTCTTTGCTGAAACAAGACATCTCCTTACTCTCTTTCTTCACCTTCTGATTGGCTGTCCTTGTAAACAACACGTCTGGTTGGGCAGGTGGGTGGGCCTTACATGTTCAATGTGTTCTATGTTTGCAAATGTTCCTATTTACTGAAATGTTGATAATATGAGCATTCAAGGCAAATCGTTAAATGCTTTGAAACATATTAAACACACAATAGTATCATTTATGTATAATGTATAGGTTGTACAAAGCAAAAGGCAACATTTTTCGTCTCCTTTTACATAAATAATCACAATGTTCCCAAAGATCAGTGACAAATAAGTAAAAATAAAATAACTTTGAATTTCAGTTTAAAAAACATCTGCATTTATCCGATTGTGCTGGTGCTGTAATGCTTGTGTGCTGTCATTGGTCAGCTGGGACAACCTCCAGGATGATCTGCAAGGTTCGGTTGAAGGAATCTGATGACACAAACAAAATAGTGTAAAGCTCCATCAAGATAACAGCCTAACAAGATTGCAGTTAAAACACAAATGAAAGGTGATTGTTTCACAAAAATCATTGATAACAGTGCAACAATTGGAAATCAGCACATTATACAAAGCAGATACAATTAGCTCTCTAAAGCAATGAAGATGTGTTCTCTGGAGTGATAAATTACAGTTCTCCATCTGGCAACTGGATAGAGAGCTGTTTGGGGGGGGGGTGAGCTGAAGTTGAGTTGTTTGTCAGGACTTGGGTTCAGCCCCTTGAAATACCTTTTAACTCCCAGGGGCTTCTGTAAACCACCACCACCCAAGATAAAGCTAACACTTGTGAGACTTGTGAGGTGTAAGTATCACAGCAGATACCACTATGTCAAAAAACTGAGGATGGAACACAGAAAAATATGAAATAATTTTTTCGTAGTCTATTTTTTTATGTCTAGTATATAACCAATTTGAAAATATGCTGCAGTAGGCCAAAACTTGATTAATGATGTTAAATATGATTTGCAACATAAGAAAAAAGACAGAAAAAAGTCCTCCTATTACAGAGTTTAGTTGTTTAGCTTCATCCATTGACAGATCTCTCCTGAGATGTTCAGTTCAGGTCTGGCCGGGCCACTCAAAGACACTCACAGGGTGGTCCCAAAGCCACTGCTTTGTTTTCTTAGGCGTGTTCTTAGGGTCATTGTCCTGTTGGAAGGTGAATTTTTGTACTCAAAAGAGTCCTGAAGAGCAGAGAGCACTCCTGTCTCTGAACCGCTTTGCAGCATCTGACGAGTGGTCTGTCTGATGGGATTAGCTTAACAGACGCGTCGGGGTTTCCAAATTCGTAGGCTGCATACTCCTGAGGACCCGGCCTTTGCGGTCTACGTGGGCCGAGTCCTCCGAAGGCCGGGTAGGCCGGAATTGCGAGGCTGTGAAATTGGACGATCTAGCCTTCAGTTTTGCGTCACCAGCTGTCTCGGTGGAGTTTAATAAACTCGGCCGTCTGCTCCTTTCTATCTAAAATATAACAGGACACTGGAGTAAATTCTCTATCATCTCACACTTCTGTTTAATCAGTTTTCTGTTTGATGTTTCTTCAGCTGTGTGAAAACGAAATCTTTAATCTCAGCCAAACCAATTTTCTGACGAAAAATTAAAACACTGAAAAAAGCCAAACGATAACATTTTTAAGTTATCTAAGTGACTTATATATAATGTTTAACCTGAGTTGTGAAAGACGGCTAGCTATCAAGCTGGTGGGTAACAGACGTCTCCGAAAACATCGGAGCACTTTTGCAAATATGCGATATCTTGATAGACCGAGCAGATATTTGACGTTTACACACCCACATTCTCGCCTAAAAATATGTTAAAACTTTATTTTGTGACCCAGAAAGAGTAATAAGAGTAATACTAAAACTAAGTAGCTGCCGCCATTGTTGGAAACTGGAATTGGCTGGGCTGCCAGTTCATTGGCAAGAGCTTTCTTTAGCAGGTTATCATCAAGGATGTGTTTGCACATTGTATTAATCTTTCCCTCAACCCTTACAAGTCTCCCAGTTCCTGTTGCTGAAAAACTTTCCCACAACATGATGCTACCACCACCATGTTTAACTTCAGGGATAGTACTGCTCAGGTCATGAACAGTTCCTGGTTTCCTTCAGACATGATGCTTGGCATTCAGGCCAAGTATTCCAACTTTCTTCTAGAGAACTTTGCTTCTCATGGTAAATGATAACCCTCCATCATAAATGATGGAGGGTTCACCCTCCCCACCGCTCCCCACCTGGGACAGCTACCCCCCTACTGTGATGTAGTACTTGTTGGTTCTCGTGTGGTTGTTGACCCACTCCCTTGGTGGTCTTAGATCCAGTCAGTTCTTGGGCACCTGGAGCCGTAGAACCCTGATCTTGGCTTGCACCGGGGTAGCCTGTCTCTAGAGGGGTCAGCTACCTGTCTCCTCTGTTTCTCTCCTCGACTCTCACCCCTTGGCCATGGGCACCACATTTAGGGCCTTCCTGCTCTTGCTGGGATGGGTGCACAGGCATAGTCTTGGGTCTTTAATAATCCTGGGGGCTGTGGATGGGAAGGTTCTCCCAGATCCATCTCGCCTCTGGTTCCTGGGGGGTGTTATTGTGGCTTCCCCCCCCCCTCATTCTTAACTACATTTCATGACAAAGACACACACGTACATACTCACACTTGACACTCTTTCTCTTTTTCTGTCTCACACTCACACACACACCACAAGAAGCTTGTTGATTAATGTACCTGTGCACTTTCCAATTATAGGGTTCCAGGTTTTATATGTTTTGTATGGTCATGAAGACCCTGGAATGACACATCCTGGACTAGCTTCAACCCATAGTCAGACCACATCTGACCACATCCACATCAGACCAAGGAATTAATTGTGGATTTTATGAGGCCCAGGAAAACCTTGACCCCTGTTTTAACAAGGGGGTCAACATGGACATTGTGGAGGACTATAAATACCTTGGAGTAGGCAAAGACAATAAACTGGACTGGATTAAAAACAACACTGCACTCTACAGGAAAGGCCAGAGTCATCTCTATTTTCTGAGGCGGATGAGGTCCTTCAACATCTGTCAATGATCATGATTTTTTATGAGTCTGCAGTTACCAGTGCTGTCCTCTATGCTGTTGCATGCTGGGGCAGCAGGTTGAGGGTCACAGATGCCAACAGACTCAATAAACTGATCTGCAAGGCCAGTAATTTTGTGGGGATGGAGCTGGACTCTGTTAAGGTGGTGTCTGAGAGGCAGATGTTGTCCAAGTTAAAGACAATGTTGGACAATACCTCCCACCCACTCCATGACGTGCTGGCTAGCCACAGGAGCACGTTCAGTGAGAGACTGAGATTACCAAAAAGCACCACTGAACGACGCAAATCATTCCTGCCTGTAGCCATCCCCCTGTACAACTCCTCCATCTAACACACTTGTAAACACTGCAATAGTAACATCCTTTTTCACATGCCCTTTTCAACTCAGTAACGGTGTGTTCACACCGAACGCGATGGACGCGAATAGAGCGTCAGGTTTACATGTAAAGTCAATGGAAAGGCGCGATGATGCGTGATTGCGAAAAACGCGCGTCAGTGTAGCGCGTCTGGCGCGTTTGACGCGCGAATAAAACCACGCGCGTGAGTTTTTGTGTTGCATTTTGTGCATACGCGCGTTTCGCGTCTACCGCTCGAGTTGGAAAAATCTGAACTCCAGCGTCAAATCGCGCCGCCACAACCAATCAGGAGCCTGGTGACGTGGCTGTTACCTAGGTCAAAGGGGCAGTCGGTGGCTGGGAAAACTGAGCATTTTTGTCTTAATTGTAGTTACGGCGTAATTTACACATTACTGCTTGATTTTTTATTTTTTATATTTTTTATTTTTTATTCCTATTTATTCTATTTATCCCCTTCGTATATTTTATTTATATTGTCTCTGTATTATATATATGTGTGTGTGTGTATATATATAATATTCTGTAACTCTGTAACTTCGGTCGTTGCTGTGCTTTTTTGGAAATCGAATTTCCCAGAGGAACCCACCCGAGGGATTAATAAAGTTCTATCTTATCTTATCTTATCTTAAAGAGCTTTACTAACTGAGTTTTAGCAGTTATGCATGACATGTTTTCTAAACATCAAATAATACAGTAATACAGTGCAGGAGGTGTTTGATAAATTATGTTCATTCCCAGTTTTTTTTTTTTTTTTTTTTTTTTTTTTTTTTTTTTTTTTTTAAATGAAAGTTTACTCATAGAAATAATACAAATATTCAAAACGTTTGATTTTATTTAAAATCCAACTCTTTCTTTTTCAAAGTTCACTCTAAAAATGTGACTTTTGCTTTCAGTTTACATATTTTCGATTTCAAATTTTTCTTTTAACTACACAAACATTATGGCCCTGATTTAACTCCATAGTGGTGTCCTATCAATGTATGCGCTCGGTGTTTGCTGATATCAAACTGTAGCATTAGGACCACTGAGTTAACCTTTGTAGTGATACTCACTCCTTTTTATTTAGACCTGGTTTAATTCTGGGATAGTTGAATATTTGTATATAATCCCTGCAGCTGTCAGACTCTATAGCAGGGGTCACCAGCCTTTATTAAAACAGAGTTAGATAAAACTGTGAACAGTTTGGTTCATCTTTAGTTACATGGTTCTATCTTGATAAGCTATGTCTTATCACAGATTAATTTTTCAAAAATATTAATGATTTAAGCAAGGAAAGGGCTACATGTCAACATACAACTCTTTATTTCTATTAATGTCTTACTTCATTCCTACCTGATTGACATGTTTAGGAATTATGAGTGATTGGCACACTGTAGTTGTGAAAGTTGCTACCAATCAAATTATGATATGTTAAAGTTAAAACAAAACACAACTGTTTTAGATATTATCTAATATACATTTTGTAATTATCCTTATAATTACAAAATGTTTTATGTAAGATTCATGTTTTGTGATTTAAATCTGACATCACAAAAGTATTTTGGAATTTGAATAATGTATTTTGTAACTGCAGTACACATAATACTGATTTTGAACAATTTTGTCCAGGTTCCTTGTCACCGGGGACTCCTTCACGACCAAGCATTCAGTTACAGAGTCGGTGTGTCCACGGTGAGCCAGATCACCCCCCAGGCAGCGACGGCCATCTGGGACTGTCTAGTGGACGACTTCATGGCTGTGCCTTCACCTGGAGACTGGCGGTCCATCACAGAGGGATTCCAGGAGCGCTGGAACTTTCCTCTGTGCTGTGCAGCTCTGGATGGGAAGCACGTCCAGACAAAGGCACCCCATATCATATAGGAGACACACACATTGATATACACTAAATATTTATTTCATTTCTTTTTTGTGGTGCCCAAATTGATGCACCTGCTTGATTTTGTTTAAACAATTATTGCACACTTTCTGTAAATCCAGTAAACTTCTTTTCACTTCTCAAATATCACTG